CCCCCGAGGGGACAGTGCTACAGTAACATGTTACACCCTGAAGATGGGTGTTACATGTTACGAAAGGTGAACTAATCCTTTAAAAAGGCACCAAACAGATAGCTTACACAAGGCTATGGACTCCCCTCCCCTACAACGCAAATTGCTGTCATATGCTCCTCCACACCAAGAACTACCAATTATCTCCTTCTGCTCCTGCTACGAAAAGAAAAAGCAAGTATATACTGCTGGGAGTGGAGGAGCCAAAGCAATCCTGTTGATTGGTCTTATCAGGGGTCAAAGGTATTACCCAGGAACATGCGGCTTTAACTGACAATAAGAGAAAAGCTAGGCAGCATTATTTTCCAGAGGTATCCTGCCTTGTTAAGAACATAACATATTTATATTTGAAATCCAAAATGTGAAAAAATAAAATTTAAGGCCCCATTCATCGGTTTGGTGTGTTTACTCCTCTAAAAAGCAATCTATAGCAGATTGCTTCTATCAGGCAGTTGAGTAGCCATTTGCGGGTGACACTGCTACCTGAATGCCTTTTTTCCTTAACACAGTAACTTATATATGCAGCATTCACAGAGGTGGGCTTTAAACGTGAGCGCTGCATATATGCGTTCTTGTGTTTGTGCTGGGAGCACACTTCCAGCACTGAGACCGGGCTCTCACTGACAGCTCCAGGTCTCGTACTAACAATCTGGACCTGGGATTCCCAATCATTGCTTGCTGTGATAGCCTGTGATTGGCCACCATAGTGATCAGTCACTTTGCAGCCCGTTTTCTTTCTCCTCTGAATGGAGAAAAAGATAAGTTGTATCTCTCTTTTTGCAGGGGTGAAAAATGTAAACAAAAATGTGTAAAAGTAAATAAATACATTAAAAAAATAAAGAAATCAATAGATCTACGTCAGCATCAGAGTTTGTGTTGAGGTCAAGGTAAGGGTTAAAGGTCCAAGCCTGGGTCAGTATATTTTCGGTAGGACTTAAAAAAAAAAAAAAAAAATGGCTTTTTTAAATTCGTATCAGTGTTTCCGGGCCCTACTACAGGTATAGATAACTAACATGGGCAGCACAGTGGCTAAATGGTTAGCACTTCCACCTGGCAGTACTAGGGTCGTTGGTTCGAATCCTAACCACGGCACCACCTGCCTGGAGTTTGCATGTTCTCCCTGTGCCTGCATGGGTTTCCTCCGGATACTCCGGTTTCCTCCCACACTCCAAAGACATGCTGGTAGGTTAATTGGATCCTGTATAAATTGGCCCTAGTATGTGTATGTATGAATGCGAGTTAGGGACCTTAGATTGTACGCCACTTGAGGGTTAGGGACTGATGAGAATGTACAATATATATGTAAAACGCTGCGTAAATTGATGGCGCTATATAAGTACCTGAAATAAATAATAAATAGCATACACATATGCGGTATCACAGTGATCGTCAGGAGCAGAATACATTTTGGGTTGTTCTTTGTTGGTAGGTTATGGTAGTAGATAGAAATATACAGCTAAATGTAAAGAAAAAAAAAAAAAGTTTTACTATTTTTGGCAAGTTTTCCTATGATTAAAGAAAGAAAAAAAAATAAATATCAGGAGATATCCATTATCATTTACCACCAAAAGAAAGCCCAAAACACGGTATAGTTGCAATCATATGTACAGTTTTACTGCCACATGTCAAAGTTGCAAAATTGGGTCTGGGAATAAAGGTTTGTTTACCCTCAGGACATGTAGGGGTAAAAGTAGGATTTTGCTTTGCAATACTACGCCACATCCACACGCCAAGCAATCGGCACACAGTTCTAGCACATTCCCATTGACTTCATGCAGTACCGCCTGTCAAATGTGACATGCAGAGTTAAATTTGCCACACCACGAAGCAAAGCAACATGACCATTGAACAAAGCCGAGCGGCAGCAATGTTATTTTCAATTCGTTTCGACTGCCTGTTTTTACAGCTTTTTTGCCATCTTTGTGAACTGAGCCTAACCGTGTAGTTTTATATTCTGAACTATCAGCAACAATGTCAAATGTACACAGAAAGCATGGACATTTAATCAACTCAAACGTGGGTGTTTCATGTACCGATCTGGTATCCAAATACCACCCAAAACGTACTCTCCACTCCTCACAAGACCTCCTATTCTCTAGTTCCCTGGTCTCCTCCCATGCCCATCTCCAGGGTTTCCCCCATCCTCTGGAACTCCCTACCCCAATCCATCTCTCTCCTCACCTTTAGGCGCACTCCGAAAACCTCTCTCTTCAGGGAAGCCTACCTTGCCCTCAGCTAATTACTGAACTCCTCCACTCTTCCTACCACTCCATCCCCCACAGCCATTTCCTCCTGCACCACTATCCCCTCCCTCCTAGATTGTAAGCTCCAAGGAGCAGGGCCCTCGAATCCCTCGTGTATTGAATTGTATTGTTACTGTACTGTCTCCATTATAATGTACAGCGCTGAGCAAACTGTTGGCGCTATACAAATCCTGTATAATAATAATAATAATAATAATAATAATAATAATAATGTAGATGACCCCCCAGGTTTGTCTGAGACATACAGGTATTTAAATTCTGAAACACAGTATAGCCAGAAACAAAAGCTTGGGTTATTCCAGGTAACAAAGCTTCAATGAAAGCCAGTATCTCATGAGATCTGAGTGTAGTGCTGCAATAGAATGGGTGTATTAATGTTAAAAAAAAAAAAAAAAAACGAACATCACTGCACACTTCAGCAGGGGCGCAGCAGGTGAAGTATGAAGCTGCGGGTGGCAACGATCAACAAATATGTGCTCCACCCAACTTAGCCACTTTAACCTTCATAAAATAGTATGGCCAGTTCTCTTCATTTAGAGATATTTTGCAAGAGGGAATTATATACCGAGTAATTACCAACAAAAATATCCCTATAAATATTTAGGAGACGCACCGACTAGTTCTGCCACTATTTTATTCCCGCAAACCGCTCATTTTCCATTCTCATGTACTGCACTCATTTCCTTAGCCAACGAAACTTGTGCCATCTGCAGGATTTCGATGGGAAACGATAACGTGCCTCATCTGGAGAAAGCGGATGTTGGGAAGTGGTTAATTTCTGTGAATTAGATGAACCTCTCTGGTTATTAAGCAGCACTTAATGCCAGCATGACCTGAATATCTCAATGAGATTAGCAAGCTCCCAGTCTTAGATGTTCCTGGCAGAGGCTGGAGGCACAATTACTGTATGAGGTTTACCAAATGTCCACAGTTCATAGAAAAGAACAAAAATAAATAGGAATAAAGCAGGATCACTTGAAAAAAGTCATGTTCAAGGGATATAGGGTACTAAGTACATTTGTTAAAAACTGGGGAGTACTAAGTTTCAGAAAATATTCCTCACCATTTAAAGTGTTTGTCATGCCAAAAAAGGTTCGTTTTACAAAGGGGAAAAATTTGAATGTCTGTGGGGCTTTTACCGTTTCCAGTTAGAAAGATTTAGGCCTCATTAACTTGGATGCCAAGCTTGCAGACCAAGAATGGGCCGTGTTTATGTGGCTTGGGCAGCCAGCCCATGTTATGTTTATGGATACAGGTATGCAGAAGATACAGACAACCACTTCAGTGTGCAGATAAGCATCAAACTGTCTGATATCGGGGCCACTCATCTGCATCCCTGTATGGACAAGCAGTTGTGTCCATGTATTCTCTGTGTCCCTATTCACTTACTCTGGCTGCCTGAACACAGTGCCTGGCAGCTCAAGCTGCATAAATACACGGCAGGTGCCCGAAATTAACAGGTACCCGTTCCCACTTCCTCTGCGATCGCCTAGGCCAGGGGTGGCGAACAAGTTAGACACAAAGAGCCAAAATTTTAAACTGTGAAAGTCAGAGAGCCACACCACGCAGTGACCTGCCAAAACAGACAAACACACACACAAACACATAATTAAAACCATATTATTCACCATAACACTTTCTTTCCCCTTACAAAACAACAATGTGTTCATTTCAAGGTAAGTGTCCACCGTCAACACACAATTCAAATGCAACTTAGCCAGAGTTAACACATCAACTACCCTGGAGGTTGCTGTGGCACCTGTCTCTCTCTCTCCCTTCTCTCTCTCACTCTAACACACAAGTATACAAAAAAAAAAATTCTGAACTAATGGACTGCGGACACAGCACAGGAGATGAGCAGAGACTGCGGACACAGCACAGGAGATGAGCAGAGACTGCGGACACAGCACAGGAGATGAGCAGAGACTGCGGACACAGCACAGGAGATGAGCAGAGACTGCGGACACAGCACAGGAGATGAGCAGAGACTGCGGACACAGCACAGGAGATGAGCAGAGACTGCGGACACAGCACAGGAGATGAGCAGAGACTGCGGACACAGCACAGGAGATGAGCAGAGACTGCGGACACAGCACAGGAGATGAGCAGAGACTGCGGACACAGCACAGGAGATGAGCAGAGACTGCGGACACAGCACAGGAGATGAGCAGAGACTGCGGACACAGCACACAGAGAGATGAGCAGAGACTGCGGACACAGCACAGGAGATGAGCAGAAACTGCGGACACAGCACAGGAGATGACCAGAGACTGGACACAGTACAGGGATGACCAGAGACTGCGGACACAGTACAGGGATGACCAGAGACTGCGGACACAGTACAGGGATGACCAGAGACTGCGGACACAGTACAGGGATGACCAGAGACTGCGGACACAGTACAGGGATGACCAGAGACTGCGGACACAGTACAGGGATGACCAGAGACTGCGGACACAGTACAGGGATGACCAGAGACTGCGGACACAGTACAGGGATGACCAGAGACTGCGGACAGCACAGGGATGACCAGAGACTGCGGACAGTACAGGTGACTGCTGACCTTTGGGGAGGTGGGGAGCGGGTACCTGAATTTGACAGGTACCCGCTCTTACTTCCGCAGAGTTTTTGTTTGATCTTACCTGTTCCTCTATCCAGCGGCGCGCTGTCTTCCCGGCTTCTGTAATGGCGCTCGGCATGACAGCCGGGTGCCCAGTGCGCATGAGCGAGAAGCACTTGCGCTTTGTGATTGGTCTGGCAGCTTCTGGGATCTGTCATGTGTCCCAGGTACCGCCTTACCATTCACAAAAAGCACCGCTTCTTGCACATGCGCACTTGGCACCTGGCTGTCATGCTCAGTGCCCACACTACAGAAGCCGGAAGACAGTGCGCCGCTGGATAGAGGAACAGGTAAGATCAAAGAACAAAGAAGTAAGAGCGGGTACCTGTCAAATTCAGGTACCCGCTCCCCACCTCCCCTAAGAGAAACATGAAACTTGGCAAAGAGCCACAGTATACAAAATATAAGAGGCAAAGAGCCGCATTCATTTTGGCCGGGAGCCGCACGCGGCTCGAGTGCCGAGTGTTCGCCAACCCTGGCCTAGGCAATCGGAAGCGGAAGTTGACCTCCTACCCTCCCTCCTCATAGTCCTCTGGGACACATGACAGGTCCCAAAAGACTACAGGGCCATTCACGTAGCGCAGTGCGTCTCACGCATGCACAGTGGGCACCCGGCTGTGAAGCCACAAGCAGTCACAGCTGTGCCCACACTGAAGATGCCGGCGCCTGGAACACCAGACAGCTGGTAAAAAGGGCTGCAAGGAGGACACCGCAGGATCGCAAGTAGCTGGTTTTTTTTTTGGTTTTTTTTAAAGTCAGCAGCTAGTTATTTTAGCTGATGACTTATTTTTTCACAGTGCGACTGGAACACCGCTTTAATACAATCCTTCCTTTCACTTTCTAATTTGGACTTAATCTCTGGGGGGCCAATTCACACTTCCACACTTTTTGTACACAGAGTCACATGCCAACATCTATTGCATTAAGGAAGCTCAATTTGAATGGTCTTCTAAGCCAAAAGAATAAAACAAAGGTGGACACAAATATTTTTTTTTCAAAGCAGCCCACCAGAAGGCATGGCAGCATTCATTGTCATACTATACCCACTTGCCTGTGTTACTTAAATTGGCAAATGAGCAGTCAGGCAACACTGTGCTCAATAGAAATGTATATAAATTTTGTTCTGACAAATAGAGCTCTCTTTTTGGTGGCATTTGATCACCAGTGTGTGTTTTATCTTATTATATAAACGGAAAAGACAGAAAATTTTGAAAAATATTTTTATTTTCTGCTATAAAACATATCCAATAAAAAAAATTTAAAAATCACATTTCTTCATAAATTTAGGCCAAAATGTATTCTGCTACATGACATACATACATACCATACACACTGGAATTTTTAGTTATTTTTTTGTACTAGTCATGGTGGCAAGCAGCGACTTATAGCGGGCAATCTGTCACTAGCGGACGCTGCCTGGGGGCTATACTAACTGACTGACACCGACATCAATTGTGACACCAATACAGTGATCACTGCTAATGCTATACACGGTCACTGTACTAATGCCATTGGCTGGAAAGGGGTTAACATCTAGGGGCGATCAAGGGGTTAACTGTATGCCTAACAATGTGTAAAGTGTGTAGTATGTGCTGTTACTAAGGATCTTGTTATTTTTCTCTGCTTAGCGGGGAATAAAAACCGGCTAGATCCCCTGTCTGTGATTGTAAACTATACAGAGCTCTGTTCACTGAGCTTCGTTCCATGAAACACTGAGTGGATCAGCAGCTCCCGGTGGTCAATTATTGGGCAGGACCTGCTGATCAGCTTGTGCTGTAATGAAACACAGCACAGCCAGGTGGGCAGGAGAGCAGATCATGTTACTAGGTACAAGATCCAGCACAGAGCAGCCGCAGTGCTGCCGTAAATCTAAACTGGGCGGACGGCAAGCCGTTAATGCATGTGCTTCAGAACTGCATTGGCTTTGGGATGCCATTACTGCACCTCATCACAGATTTGTGTTTTGGCCCAAAAGGAGCTCTGTCAAAGAATTATGACTGTTACTGCAGACATCTCCTTTTCAAAAATGCTAGTTCCCTGGCAGACATGCTTTGGCTTCAGTGAAGACAGTCACTGACCTAGAAGCGTAGAGGACAGGAATTCTGATACTTTTTCAGCAAAGCTTGTTTTGGGTCTGTAACTCCAAGGACTGAAGCCAAACAGTTAGGTAACTAGCATATTTATTTATTTATTGCAAGTACTTATATAGCGCCATCAATTTACACACACACACACACACACACACACACACACACACACACACACCAGTCCCTAGCCCTCAAGGGGTGTACAGTCTAAGGTCCCTAACGCCCATTCATACATACACATACTAGGGCCAATTTGGACAGGAACCATTTAACCTACCAGCATGTCTTTGGAGTGTGGGAGGAAACCGGAGTACCCGGAGGAAACCCAAGCAGGTACAGGGAGAACATGCAAACTCCAGGCATGTGGTGCCGTGGCTGGGATTCGAACCAACGACCTCAGTACTGCCAGGCAAAAGTGCTAACCATTTAGCCACTGTCCTGCCCTAAATTGTGATAGGTTGTGTGATAAATTGTGTGCATATCCAGAAGGAACAAAAAAGGTATACCGCTCAGGCAAACAATCCAGATCAATCCAGAACAGGTGCAGGCTCTGGCTCACCACCAAATACGATGCAATAGGAAGAAGGGTCAGCCGCACACCGGAGGATAGATGAATATTGTGTGTATTTATTGATCCATAGGACACACAACACCAGGACATAAATACAGGACTTAATGCGTTTCACATGATCTCGTGCCTAATCATAACCTTATGATTAAGCCTGAGATAGTGTGAAACACGTTAACAAGTCCTGTATTTATGTCCTGGTGTTGTGTGTCCTATGGATCAATAAATACACACAATATTCATCTATCCTCCAGTGTGCGGCTGACCCTTCTTCCTATTGCATATTCAGAAGGAAATCACCAAAACAGATCCCTATTCTCACAATTTTTGGAAACCTCAAGTACATGTTTAAAAGGAACACTGTCTAGTCACTGAAGCAGAAGACAAGTCCACTAACATGCTTTGTTCTCATTTCAGAGATGGCAGAGCCCATTCAGCAGCTGACACGGAATAGGACAGAGGAACGGCAAAGGGTTCCCTTCTTGCTTCTCAGTTGCAAAGAAAAGGTAAAAATAATCTTGGTATTTGAAAATGTTTTACGGAGCATTGCTATGTAGGGATCAAAGATGAGGGATCTACCAGAAATTAGCAAACTTAGATGTAAGGGGGGCGGGGGGTGGCGATAAGCGCATTGAGACCTTGATTCATATTGAGGTCACATAAAGATGGCGATCATTAGATGCACATGGGGTGGATGCATGTATCACCTAGGGTTTGGAGGAACTGAAGATTACCATTACAGCACATTGATGGTGGATTTTTGCCTATGCCTTTATAACGCTGTTCACAAAACAGTTGGGGTGCTTGGTTTATGTCAGTTTATTTATTGAGGAGTCTACTTTGTAAAAAACCTTTCTATACAGAGCGCACTATTCTTGGTTCCATTTTATTTTAGATGCATACCTTCCAGGGGCAGACTGACAACTCATGGGGCCCCCGGGCAATAGGGGATCATGGTGCCCCTGTGTCCTTGCCCAAACTCAAAAAAGCCTATGAAAAAGGTACCAGGGGCATCTCATGGGGCCCCCTACTGACCCCGGGCCCTCGGGCAGTGCCCAAGTTTCCAAATGGTCAGTCCGCCCCTGATACCTACCTAAGGTGGAGTAATTTATGTGACTGTGCTGCATTTTTCTTCATGGGTATCACCATAGGACTGCACTGCTTGTTTTTTGTTTTTTTGAGCACAGTCAACTTGCAGGGGGAGCTTTTTTTTTTTTTTAAATCACTTTAAAGAGGGGAGCTGGGGAGACCCTAAAAATGCCACTCAACTGTGAATTTTTACTGCCCCCAACTGCACTTCTAAATGAGGCCTAATGGGCCTTTTAAACACAAGTTACCAAAGCACCCAACAGTCTCTTTGAGGGGATTGTCCCTTTTTTGGAATTCAATCCTTCTGCCTCTTTTGCTCCACGGTTGTTCTATTTTTTGATCGGATATATAGAAATCTATTTTAAAAAGAAAAAGTACAATTTGACTACCAAAAAGTATTATAACTAAACTTTTTTCATCCAACCCCTAAATGATTTTCTTTATTCTTCCTTGTCAAATTAAAAATGTAAAATAGTGGAAAAAAAAAAAAAAAAAAAAAAAAAAGATTTAACCAATCCTTTTTGCATAGGAATTCTTCATTCTCCATATACCTGGGTTCATGCCAAAGGAGTGTCCTTTACCTATATACTTCATACCAAGAAGTGTTGACCCTCCTCATCGTACAGAGTTGGAAGGGATGCATTTTGTAGGCACAGTCCACAATTGTCACTATGAGAAATCCAGCCTTGAGATATAACATGCAGCCATCACTTGGAGTGCATGCATGTAGAGATATAACATGCCGCCATCACTTGGAGTGCATGCATGTAGACAGGAAGTGGCTCCATGACATCAGCAGTACGAAGATAGAACAAAAAATGTAAATGTTTGTAAAGGGCCATCTCTCTCCAAGCATCAATCCTGAGAAGATCTACAGTGTGGTTCCCCAAATATGTTGGGATTAGTAGGGTCTCACAGACCTGGAACACATATTGCCTGGCTACTGATCCATATGACTTCTGACAGAGAAGCCGGTCTGAGTGTTGAAAAATGCTGCCTAAACATGTAGCCCTCTCTCCATCTAGCAGAACAGAAATGACCAAAAACCTGCAGCTAGTTGTGTCCTTAGCAAACCATAGGTGTGTCCCCAGCTGTGTACTTCTGCAGATAGACACCTGTTCTGTAAAGAACAGTACTCTGAATTTGCTGCTTTAAATCGCAGCCTGCCAAAAACCCCAAGAAACAAAGTGAGAGTCACATGTTGTCTAGTCCGTATGTACTCTTACAATCTGTGATAATCTGATTTTCTGCTCAGTCTAATCTCTTGCTGAGAGTTTGCCTTGTTTCCCCAAGTACAGCTCACAAGTCAGACAACAGCCAAGTCTAGCTTTAAAAAGAACCTACATTTTCCATCAAAGAAATCCAACATAAACGTTTTTTATACTTACTGTATATTACAGAAATTACAGCATTTTTCATAGTATTTAAGTGCCCAGTGATAGGTTGACATGTGATGACAAAAGAGGCTGTTTTAGCAATTCACTCCCCCATTGCTGATCAATAACCTGACCCCAAATGCTCTAATTTTAAGGGACATTCCCTCTAAGAAGCCCTTCCTCTTTTAGACTTGAATATTTTAAATGTAATAAATGCCTAAAGGTGATTTTAACATTTAAAAAAAAATGCATTACATCGCTGCAATACATTCACGGTCTCTTTAAAGGAGAAGTTTGGGGTTACCATACTCAGCTCTATGCTGCAGCTGTCCCACTCGGGCTCTAAACCTGAGAATTGAGTGATTACATGAAAGCTGATCACTCAGTTCTTGATCAGCTCTGAGCAGAGAGCAGTGACCATCAGTCACCGCTTTCCGCTCTGCCCCTCCAGTGCTCACTGAAGTGCAGGGCTGGCGAGAGTGGGTGCAGCTGTCTTCATCTCTCAGCCGTGTGCTGCAAGCCGGAGCCAGCTGTTAGACAGCTGCATGGATCATGACAACATGGTCAGGATTCCTACAGAGCCTGGAGCGGCTCTGATGTCAGACGACAGCATACTTTAGCCCAGTCTGCTGATTCTGGGTTACAAGAGAGCAAAAAAGTGAACTCCCAAAAAGCTTTGGCCATACTTCTCTTCAAGACATGGCAGGTACAGAAAAATACCTACTAAACTGCTAGAAATGCTCCCAATTCCTGCTGTGGGCTGACAACACACAGCTTTTTTTGCACTGAGTGGTGTCAGCCCTGCCCTGTTGTCTTTTTGCTACACCATTCACACCCTCCTCTATCCCACACATGTATTTTTAAAAATTCCAAGTGAAGAATGTAGTGGGGAGTTTTTTCCGTTAAAAATTCATTTTTTTTTTTACAGTGTGGTGAAATACTGTATGAGAAAAGGCAATATGGAAAAGCCAAATGGGCCTGTGTGAAGATGAAAGAGGACAAATATGAACAAAGTATCTGCATGGGGTTCATGAAGCTTATGAAATACATCTGTGAGCAGAATTCTTCCGGTAAGAGACGTCTTCCGATCACACACACAACACGCATTCAAATTCCATCCATAGCGTGGTAATGTTCCATAAACAGTCAATAGGTCTACTTTAGTTCTGCTGCATATATAGCAGCTGGAAAAATTAATCATATGGTTTTATTTTGTGCTCCTGAGAGCAGTGGGGGGGGAACATTTCTTATATACCCTACAAACTTGGAAAACAGGAACTCAGAATGAAGGTTCTTCTTTATTAAGGCAGGTCTATAGCATCCCTCTTCTTCCCAAGTATCTTGTTACCACTAATTGACATAAGAAAAGAAAACAAAATGGCACGCTAATTATGTGTCAATCACCTTTGATGCAATACTGCCTGCTACTCTAAGTACTGTACCCTCCATATATTCAATCTGAATTCCAGGTATGGCAATTTTTACATAGTTATAAACTTATACTGGTCCAAGCTGCACCAATGCATGTGCCATACCTATGGGATCCCCCTAGAAGCTGGAAGTCATTGTATGTGGCACCAATACCCTCAGTGATCTCCACATGCTTCTGCATCCCGTACTGACCGGTTGCCCTGCTGCCTTTTGAACACAATTAGTCGCTCATGCAGCAGGAGCACCATTCAGAGTACACATGGACAAGGTGGAACAGTAGGCGGTGGCGTGACAATCTCCACCTTATAATGAAACCATTTTGCATTCATGAAGGAAATGTTAAAATACGGCCTACCTATATGTACCTTAACACAAAAACGTGATGCTGTTGTGCAGTAATTTTGAAAGTGCTGGAAGCCACAGTTGAGGCACTCCAATTTTGATAAAGAGAGAAAAAAGGAGGCGCAAAAAACTAAGTGCAGATTATTGTTGTCACATTTAATGGATAGGTATAAAAACACTCAGAACAAAGATAAACTAAAGCTCATCTGTATAAGACCACTCTCCTCCGTCCTGTAGGGTACCGCCAGGCAAGCCAAAGTGACAGCTGAAGCCATAGGTGTAGTTGAGGGAATCTCACCTGGGTATGTGGCTGAGCTGGAGCCAAACAACGGCATCTGTATCCAGGAGATGGCCACACAACCAGCGTGGAACGCAACGGCAGAAGTGACGTCACCGTCCTGGATACAGACGCTGTTGTTCGGCTCCAGCTCAGCCACATACCCAGGGGAGATTCCCTCAACTACACCTACGGCTTCAGATGTCACTTTGGCTTGCCCGGTGATACCCTACAGAACGGAGGAGAGTGGTCTTATACAGATGAGCTTTATTTTATAAGACCACTCCTCTCTGTCCTGTAGGGTACCGCCAGGCAAGCCAAAGTGACAGCTGAAGCTGTAGGTGTAGTTGAGGGAATCTCCCCTGGGTATGTGGCTGAGCTGGAGCCAAACGGCGTCTGTATCCAGGATGGTGACGTCACTTCCACCGTTGCGTTCCACGCTGGTTGTGCGGCCATTTCCTGGATACGGACGCCGTTGTTTGGCTCCAACTCAGCCACATACCCAGGTGAGATTCCCTCAACTACACCTACAGCTTCAGATGTCACTTTGGCTTGCCTGGCAGTACCCTACAGGATGGAAGAGAGTGGTCTTATACAGATGAGCTTTAGTTTATCTTTGTTCTTCTGAGTGTTTTTATACCTATCCATTAAATGTGACAACAATAATCTGCACTTAGTTTCTGGCACCTCCTTTTTTCTCTTTATTTCTGCATAGAGTTGGCCTTGCTCTATAGGACGGCAGCCATTAACCACCAAACACACCATTATACAGAGACTTTTTTGATTTTACCATTTGTGTGCCTATACCACTTATTATGGTTTTCTGCTAGTTCATGTTGAACTATTCCACCACCTACCTTATCCAACAAATTTCACCCGCCTTCCTTTTTTTCCCCTCCCCTATTCCTTCTACTGTATTGTGAGTACCTATGCGCTGAGCACCAGATCTTTTTCGGACTTCAATTTTGATGCTGACCACCACTGGTCTGTAGCGTTGACCCTTCCCTCATAAATTGGGCAGGCATAGAATAGTTCTACATCTTATTCTAGTGTAGGCTCCTCAGTTTGTAAAATCAAGCCATGGTAGACGTTTGTCATGACTGCTTTTTTTTTTTATTCTTTTTTCTAGGTTTATATTTAGGAATGACCATTCCAATTCTCACAACCGTGCACACAGATGAAACTCACACAGGACTCACACGTGTTGTCACCATAGCATATTATATCCCCTCCCACCTTCAAGCCGATCCACCTCAACCCACAGATCAGGACATAGTCATTGAGGAGTGGCCACCCACTGTGGTCTTCACCAGGTAATTATAAGTTAATCGCTATATTTATGTACCTGAAATATGCTGCACAGAACGAAGTCTAAGCTCTTTCAGGCTCCATGCACACAAGTTTTTTTTTTTTTAAGCTCAAAAACCACTGGATAAAAACTGCTGGTAATAGTGGTTTTAGTAGCGTTTAGGAACGCTAGCGTTTTATTCGCTTTTTTGTGTACATGGGGGGAAAAAAAAAAAAAAAAAACTAGAAAAAAATTTGTTAGGAGAATTTTGTGTTTTTTTTCCTGCTGGAAAAAACACCTAGAAAAACTATTTTTTTCTGCTCCTACACGCTGAAGCTTGAAAAACACTACTAGCCTAAAATAGTTTGCATGGAAGCATAGGGTAACACTTACATAGCTTCTAGGAGCAGAAAAAATGCTCATAACAGTTTTTAGGAGCTCAAAAAGAAAAAAAAAAAAAAAAGCTAGTGTGCTTGAAGCCCCACACAGATAGGCTTTTCGGAGAGCAGGGGCTGTAGGATGAACTGGGGCTGTTAAGAGTAAAGCAAATTTCGTTCATCCGGCTGGCTGCATGGGCTAACCGAGCAAAAATTTACCAACAAGCCAGTTCATGAGAGGTTGATCGACAGAATGGGAACAGCCACAAATGGATTGAAATTCATCTGATTCCTGGCCAAATTTTGATACATGTATGACTAGCTTAAGGGGCTTAGTCCACGACTGTCAATCAGGGATTGTAACGCTAAGCAGCCAATTTTGTGAAAGTATATCTACAGCCAAAACATTTTTTAGTTTTTGATAGAAGAGATGGTGTAAACCAGCCACATTTGTTTAATGCCTGCGACCCACAGGAGGAAATTCCCTCAATATTTAACCAGAGGTGGGCTTTAACCACTTGCCTACCAGGTACTTTAACCCCCTTCCTGCCCAGTCCAATTTTCAGCTTTCAGGACTGTCGCACTTTGAATGACAATTGCGCGGTCATGCAACACTGTACCCAAACTACATTTTTATATTTTTTCTCTTTTTTTTTTAGACTTATAGAGCTTTCTTTTGGTGGTATTTAATCACCACTGGGGTTTTGTATTTTTTGCTAAACAAACTAAAAATTTTGAAAAGAAAAAAAAAAAAAAAAAAAGTTTCTTAGTTTCCGTTATACAATTTTGTAAATAAGTAATTTTCTCCTTCACTGATATGCGCTAATAAGGCTGCAGTGATGGGCATTGACAGTCATCACTGTTGGGCTCTGAAAGGCAGCTCTGACTGGAACTGATAAGCGGCACTGACCGGTTGCTCTGATGGGCACGGATATGTTGCTTTGATGTGCACTGATGGGCACTTGTATGTGGCATTGATGAGGCTACACAGATAATCAGGGCACTGATCATCAGTACAGATGTCCCCTCTGAGGAATGCTGCTTACTGGCTCTCCTCACATGCTGCTAGTGTGAGGAGAGGACTGCCGGCTACCAGCATTTCTTGTTTACATGCCCCTCTACCCCCTTCACACACCCCTCTCCCCCCACAGCCATGTCCTGTACCCCCTTCACCCCCCCCCCCCCACAACCATGTCCTCTCTACTCCTTCACACACCCCCACCGCCATGTCCTCTACCCCCATTCATACACCCCCCACCGCCATGTCCTCTACCCCCCACACACCACCCTCCCCCCCCCCCACAGCTATGTCCTCCACTAACTATTACACCCCCCCCCCCACAGCCATGTCCTCTACCCCCCTTCACACAGCCTACCGCCATGTCCTCTACCCCCCTTCACACACCCCCACTGCCATGTCCTCCACTAACCATTACACCCCCCTCCCCCCCCCCACAACCATGTCCTCTACCGCCCCTTCACATACACCCACAGCCATGTCCTCTACCCCCTTAACACTGCCCTCCCCCTACAGCCATGTCCTCTACCCCCTTCACACCCCCCCACTGCCATGTCCTCTACCCCCCTTCACCCCCCCCCCACAACCATGTCCTCTACCCCCCTTCACCCCCCCCACCTCCTACAGCCATGTCCTCTACCCCCTTCACACCACCCACCCTCCCACAGCCATGTCCTTTACTAACCTTTACCTCCCACTCCCCCCCCCCCCCCCCCCCCCACAGCCATGTTCTATACCGCCCTTCAAACCCCCTCCCCACCACAACCACGTCCTTTACCCCCCTTCTCACATCCCCCACAGCCATGTCCTCTACCTCCTTCACACCCCCCACCCCCCTCAGCTATGTCCTCTACTACCCTTTACACCCCCCCCCCCCCCCCCCACAGCCATGTTCTTTACCGCCCTTCACACCCCTCCAGTCATATCCTCTTGCCCACTTTCACATCCCCCCCTACATAGCCATGTCCTCTACCCCCCTTCACACCCCTCAGGACACAGAGAGCAGACCATTAAAAGATGGAGTCTTACACATGGCTCTGGACAGTGGGCAGTAAGCAGCACAGCACTGGACAGGGGGAAGGGATTGGGAACTGCTGGAGTTAACCAGCAGGTTGCTAGGCTATCCAAGCAACCAAGTACCAGCTTGTTAATAGGAAAAGTTAACTTTAGCAGCCCAGCCCCCCCCCCGCCCGTCTCATTCAGAGTGCTGTGCTGCCAAATGCAAGCCGGCGAGTGGAAGTTTTGAGGCCTGTTGTTGGGGGTAATATAAAAAGTGTCCCTTGAGTGATAGCTCAGAGTCTGCTGGGGATTTTGACAAAGATGGTAGCACCCAAAAGTCTCAAGGGTTTAGAATATCTACAGCAGTCGTCAACTAATCAGCTAAATGGGACATGAAATGCAGCCCTTACATCACCAAATGGCCACATAATGTTCAAAATTTTTAATGCTGGAGGACTGTCGGAAACTGCAAACCTAAATATGCTACATATGTGGCTGGGGATATGCTGCAGAAGACAATATGAAACTGGGAACATTACATGAGGCTAGTAGAAACATTGCTATCACCCTAATCAATGTTCCCACAACAGACTGCTATGTGATGTGAGGCCCTCGAACTTCAGCAAAGGGCTGCATATTGGGCACAGTGATCTACAGGAAGGATTTTTCAGGTAAATAACATGCATAAATAAATGCACATATCTTATGGGATGATTTTTATTGAAAATTGTCTGGTGATGGGATTTCTATAAATCCTAAAACAAATCTACCAGCAATTGATCGTGTTAACCAGATCTTTTTCACTCATTAAAAAACAAAAAGGCTATGAGCGTCATTACCAGTGTTCTCTTCAATGTGTCAGTGTATCTGCACTCCTGGATCACAAATTACAGAGCCCGCTCATGACCTGTCCTTTAGCTGCCCACAGAAATCAGTTTCCTCTTTGGCTCCCTCATTACTTTTCAATTTTTATTTGAATTGTTCAATTATAACAAATTTTGGAGTTCAGAATTAAACGTACAGGATTTAACAAAAAAAAAAAAAAAATCCTAACAAACGTGCTTTTTTTTTACAAAAGAAATTTAATCTGTCTCAAAAATCAGTGCCGGCAAACCAAATCAGCCATTTAGTGCAGCTTAGTCCTAATAACACATTTTAAATGATTAGAACATTCGCCTTTCAGAAACCACTTCCCTTGGACTTCAAGAGCCTCACTTTCATATTACAAGCAATTATTGCCTTTCAATAAGATGAGGGTCTAAGTGACCTAACAGAATGGGTTCTTGTTCAGGCCTTGTGCATTAGAACAAAACCCTCCTTGCCATGATAATAAAAAGTAGACTAAGCACATGGGGAGAGCAGCCCCCCACCCACTGCATAGAGCTGCATATGTCAAGTTGCATTAAGGAGGACATCACTTTGGCACAATAACTCTGGAGGACGGCCATCTGCAGTTCACCAATGTCTTGTCTGTAATAATATGTCATATTGAAAAGTGCCCGTCTCCCCCTGAATCTAATCAGAATGTGCTACAGCCGTTAAATACCTGCCAACTATACTTGGAAATCTAATTTAACAGGCTTTGTATTACTTGAAAAACAGCAATAGCAACTGACCTAGTTCAAAGCAAACAAGTTTCCGTTGTAGTTCATTTTTATAGAAAACTTGCAGAACACTTTAGACCAGCATTTCCCAACCAGGGTGCCCAGGCACCCTGGGGTGCCTTGGCAAAATGTCTAAAAATTGTCCAAAAGGTGTATACAAGCCAGCGGGTGGAACAAGCCTGCCTTTTAGTTACACAAAGCCAAAGGTTTTCATTGTGCACCATTGCAATCTTCTAGTCGCTGGTGTCCTGACAACCAATGACATCATCAGTTGATAAGGAGAATGTCAACTGCCTGCACAGCATCCTAGTTTGACCCCTCCCGCCCCTCTCCCTCAGTTTTTGTCCATCACTGAGCTAATGTGACCCTAGCACTGAGGGAAAAGAGAAACATTGGAATACTAGTCAGTACCAGGGTGCAAAATTGTATTTGCTTTGGAAGAATAAATTACCTCTAATGTTGGGTGTCCTACATGTGTGGATGTTGCTGCATTATATTAAACTATTAGAATAGCTTTTCACATTTTAGAAGGGGGTGCCTTAAGACTGTACAAAATTTTAAAGGGTGCCTCAGGACTGTCCATAATTTTAAAGGACGCCTTGACTGAAAAAAGGTTGAGAAACACTGTTTTAGACTATGTACAAAGACAGGCATGAACCTGGCAGTAGGGTAAAGCTGGCCACGGACCTGGCAACAGCAATCACTTTCAACCAATCAAGAATCAAGTGGTTGACTGATAAGTAATCTACCATACCATACACAAGTTCAGTCCACTACCTGAATTCTGTCCAATTGGGCTATAAAAATTGACAGTGGTTGTAAACCCTCACATATACCCAGTGAAGTGACTGGCCTCAGGTAATACAGAGATGAAACCAATCCTCCTACATAAGTTGTACCTGTTTATCTGCAGCTATCTGTCCTGTACAGCCTTGTAAAATTCTGAGATGAAAAGGATTGTGCACAGACTCACCGTGCAGGGAGCTTCAGGTATACACTGTACAAGAGCTCTGAGAGCTGATTGGAG